CTCGAAATACTACTCATCAAGTGTATATATATATATATATAAGTAGTATTTTAAAAAAAATCTAATTGACTACAAGGCTACGAAGATTTATATAATCAATTAAAATACTTATTAAATTAGATTCAAATGATGTTTTAATATAAATAATATTTTTTAAATCTTGCTCAAACTCTTAATGCCTTATGACTAAGTGATTATTATGGCTACGTGATTAAGGTTATCAAAACGACTCTTTGTTTGTGAGCAGCTTGTGTTCGGCTCGTTAAGCAAACGAGTCGAACACGAATACACTTTTTGAGCTCGAAATATAAACAAGCCGAACATGAGTTGAGTTTGGCTCGCTCGTGTTCGGCTCATTTACACCCTTACACACCCCTATGCATGTAAATGCCTCAAAGGAAATCACAAAATGGGTTTATTATTATAAATTGAATATTATAAATGGTGACCATGTGTAATCAAAGGTGTTAATATAATATAATAAAATATATATTTGTGGTGTTAGTCAAAAGTATTGGAGTTCTTATTAGTTAATAATGGATAGCCCATCCATCAAGCTTGGATGTATAAGTTGAGTTTATTGCTATTAGCGCTCTATTTGGTTGATTTATTCTTATAAGAGAGATTAGTGAATAGAAAGGGTTCACCAAACAGTAGTGATTGGCATGTGTTAGATTAGATGATGATTAATGAAGAATGTCATGCAACAAACAATACTATACCTTACTTAAGTAATAGTTCATGTGGAATGTCATACAAAGAGTGATGATAGATGGTTTGTTGAATCATTATTTCTATAAAGGGGGTAACAAATGGCAACGCTTGAATGTATTATAAGAAGTTCGATAAATATTGATTGTTCTTAAAGAAACAACTTACAATCGAGAAGGTAGGAGTCAAATATTTTAGATCATAAGAGCTCACAAATTAAAATCACAATTTTAAGAATTTTATTAAGTCGCGCTCCAACTGTCTTAATGTTAATCTCTCATTGAGCTTGTGAAGTTATTATATATATTGATTGTAATTTCACCATCCACTAAAGTTAGCATGCCAATTAGCACATATCTTATATCTTGATTAATTAATTAATTATTTATTAAAATTTTTAGTTTTATAAACATCCTTTTTTTATTAAAAAAATAAAAAATATCTACCTTATATAATCTCATTTTAGTTTTATATAGTAATTTTGTTACCATGTAATGATATCTAATCTGCATATATTTATGTAATATCAAAATTAATGAAGAATAAATTAAGATTAATGTTTTTACTTATATATATATATATATAAACGTCCCTACATTTAACACAACCGGGGTGGTGGCGCAGTTGGCTAGCGCGTAGGTCTCATAGCTTCTGAGTTATCCTGAGGTCGAGAGTTCGAGCCTCTCTCACCCCAACTAACCTTTTCTTTTTTAGTTTTTTTTTTAGGCATTTACATACATTCTATCCCATTCTTATATAAATACATATTCGACCCTTAAATATTGCTTTTTGTATTCAGACCATTCAAAAATAATCTTTCATATCTTACCGGAATACCGATATCTTAACTTCAAAATAGTAGCATATAAAAACTGAAAATTTAGAGGTTCAATATGTAAATATCAAAAAATTGAGTAGCATATAAGTAAATCTTCCTTTTTTAGGGTTTAACCTCTCAATTCCTCTGAATTTATATGTCTAGCACCTTACTTATACCTATGGAAATGTATTTCACCTCTTGAAAATTAAAATAGTGATACTAAGAAAAAAATTATAATATTTTTAATATGATACGAAAATTTTGTGGTATAAATGTAAAAAGAGAAAATTAAATTCATTTTTTGTTTGCTCCAAATATATTTTTGCATTAAAATTTTTTTTTAACTTTTCTTTTATGTGAGCTGACCAAAATATAAAATAAATATATGAGATAAAATTATAGTTAGTCATTGAACTTACATTTTTATGAAATTATATTTAATATGAATATTTATATTAAACATATAATTATTTTTGAAATATATAAAATAAATTGAAATGTTTTTAATATTATTTAATTTATCAATCTTAATAAAATCCACTTTTAAATTTGAACGATGTGTTATTTTTTAATTATTTATTTTTATACTAAATTTATACCCCTTGAAAAAATTAGGTTGGATCCTGTATATGGAGAAATATTTGCGTACGTAAAACTTAAGCCGAGTTCCGTACATATTAGGTTATTAGGATGGTACAAGTAGGTTAGACTTAGGTTATACAACTTATAATAACCTAAGTCTAACCTACATGTACACTCCGAATAACTTAATATATACGCAACTCTCTATATGTTTTACATACGCAAATATTTCTCCTGTGCACGACCATCGTTTATTGAAATGTTGCGTATAAATGACAGCATGACATAATAGTGAAAAATACAGCCTTTTATGTGAACTAGCTGGATTAATTTCCATTTTATTGTAATCACTTGACCATATTTGCATTCAAGAAATAAAAATAGAAAAATATTAGGATTGAGAGAGGAGCCAATTAGAATTCCATGTTAAATATATATATATATATATATATATATATAAATAAAAGATAACTTAGATCAACCAATATTTATTGTTGGCCAGCAATAATTAAAAAAAGAAAATTTGGCCGATTAATTATACTTTGATTGATTGATTTTGATCAATACATTTAAAGAGCATTTACAAGCATACAACCCAATTCTTATGTATTTACATATTTGATACCTGAAGTTTGTTTTATAACATTTATCCCATCCAAATCTTTCATGTCACAGCAAAATGACCACTTTTAACTTTTAAAAAGCGATATACTTATTTAATTTACTAGCAATAAAATATAGTTATGTAATTAAACTATATTAAAACTCCATTATGTTATATCATCATATGATATAAAGATCAACCAATAAACATTGAAAAGTTTTAAATAACTGAGACTCGGTTATCTAAAAAGTTTGAATTAACGGTCCCTGAGATTCAAGGTCCTGTAACAATGTCTCAAAATCAATAAGAACAATAAAAACAACAAGACTTTATCATACTAAGTGAGGTCGGGGCTACATGAATCATTTTTCTCCATTGACTTATCGAGTGTCATATTTTCATTTAGTTCTAATAAATTAAATCCAAGTTTTTTTAGATCTACATCTACATTTTTTAACATAAATTGAATCTAAAATACATACTCATCTAACCGGATTATTAAATGATCGATGCTTAATGTGACTAGACGACTCTTATCTACTATTGGAGCTACATCAACTCGTTCCTGGATACATTTGTTTCGCATTTGATCTCTAAGTATCGAGCGACTCATCCAATTGAGCATTTTTATCATCTCAACTCCACTTTACTTGGTTTTATGCCTCTATTATAGGCTAGCATTCAGCTGCGACATAAAGCATTGCAAGACTTACCACCATCTTATATAATTTTATTTTAAATCTAAGGGGTACCTTTCTATCACACAATAGATCCGATGCATTCCTCCACTTCAACCATCCAACATGAATTCTACTAATAAGATCACTATCCATATCACCATCACCATGAACAATAGTCACAAGATATCTAAAAGCATTCCCTCCTTCTAATAAATTGAACACCTATCTATTGCTACAAATCTGGCACTAGATCTACTACTAATAAAATCAACCATCCAACAATGCACTCAAAATCAAATAATATAAAATGACATTTGACCAAACTGTAAGGGAATAAAATGACATTTGTTTATGTCGGATATCATTTAAACAACATATAAATACAATTGTCATCGTACATAAGTATTAATATAAATAGTTAACAACAATGTTGCTGGGTATCATTTAAATAAAAAGTCTATCAAACACCAATAAGAATGAAGGCAGTTGAATAGCAGATGGGACAAAAATCAAATTACATTTTTTACCCAGCTGCATTAAATTTAATCTAAATTGGTGGTGAATCCTGCAAAACCACAAATCAATGGATAGACTTTACCCCGTTCATTGTAGGGAATTGAGCTCGGCTAGTTTTGACATAAGCAATATATTCGCTGTAATGCATGGTGTATAAAGTGCTTTGGTATTTGGTGATGCGAAGTCTCTTGCGAAGGGATTCCGAGATTACACTGTTATAGCCTGCTTTCCTCATTAGAGAGTCTATGGCTTCAATCTTGGTCCAACCTGTTGAGTGGGGATGCAAATGGGCAGTTTGTGCAATTAAAATAAGGTAAAAATTTACATACATATACCATACATGTTTTATGCATTTGCATATCTAAGTTTGATATTTACTTTTATAACACCTTATATTGAGAACCTATGCATGAACAGGTATGTTTTATTTTTAAGTGATAGAGTCAAAAAATTGAGTGTTATGTATGTAAATATGAAAGTATAGGTATTAGATATGTAAATATATGAGCAGTGTTTTGTATGTATGTAAATGCCCCTTGAAACAATTATGAATTGATTTGTGTCTGTGTGTGTGCGTATAAACACATAGCGTGTGCCGGAAGATGCACGCATGAATTTGTAAGATGAACTCTTAATATAGTCAATATAGATGAGAATTGAGAAATATTTTCTCTAATTTTTTGAGTTAAATTTGAATAAGTAATATCTAATTGTCAAATTAGTTTATCCTTAGTGTAAATCATGAAAAATAGTAGGATGTCTAATTTCGTAAATTCAAGTTGTTTGGGGTATGCATCACGCAAGCAAAATTTAACATCTTAGCGAGTAATCCAAATTTTGAGATAAACAAAGTACATTTAGTAAAGTACATCTCTTTTTTAACATCTTAGTGAGCCAGCCCTAGGACTCCACTCCGAGGCGGACAACTCTAGAAATATCTCTTGAAGAAATATTTTTATTTGTATTAACATCTTAGCGAGTATGCCCATATCTTTTTAACTTTAGTTACAGATGCTCTTCCTGGACGTTTATAGGAGGATGTACTTTGGTGTATGCTTTTCGTTGATGATATCTTTCTTGTGGATAAGACTAAAGAAAGAGTTCAGGAAAAACTTGAATGATGGACTTCAACATTGGGAGGAATTATTGGGTGCAGATAATGCATGCATGCGGACTTTAGTAAACATGGTTGTATTGGTTTTATTTTTGAGGTAACTCAAAAATACAACCAATACAATCATGTTGTACTGAAGTCCACATGCATGCAGATTCCGCACTTAATAATATTTCCTAAATTTGAGTCTAAAGGCCTTAGTTTGAGTAAAACTAAAATTGAATACATGAATATAATTTTAGTAATAGCAACTCTAGTTGCAGAGTTGTAACTATGAGTGATCAAATCATTAAAAGGTGTGAACGTTTTAGATATCTCAGGTCTATTGTTCAAAGTGATGGTGATATAGATGGAGATGTTATTAGTAGAATTCAAGTTGGTTGGTTGAAGTGGAGGAATGTTTCGGGCCTATTGTGTAAAAGAAAAGTATCGATTAAACTGAAAGAAAAATTTTATAAGATGGTGGTGAGACCTACAATGTTCTATAGCACAAAATGTCGACCTTTAAAATTAGGTGGATGACTGGCTTGACACTTCGAGACAAAATGTGAAATGAATATATCCATGATAGGGTATATCCATGATAGGAGGGTTGGTGTAGCTCCAGTGGCGGACAAGATTAGAGAGAGAGCCGTCTTAGATGGTTTGGTCAATTTAAACGTCGACATCAGATGATCTGGTTAGGAGAGTGTACGTTTTAGCTTTGGCTGATATTAAGAAAGACAGAGGTAGACCTAAAAAGATTTGAGCATATTGTATATTTGAGCATATTGTATAAAAAAAAAAATGATCTTAATCTATTAAAATTAAATGAAAATATGACACTCAATAGGACACAATGGAGAAAAAAGATTCATGTCGCCGACCCTTAGTGGGATAAAGGCCTGTTGCTATTGTTGTTGTTGGTACTTTTAGTGAAGAGTATTACAAGCTTTCCATTTTATAATTAATTTTGATTATTGTCCAAAAAATAATAACAAAGCATTAAACTATATCACTTTTGCGATTTTCTAGAAGTGAATTTTCTCTCCAACCGAACTATCTTATACTATATAAATTAGTTTAATTAGATTTTAAAAATAACTTTAAAAAACTTCTACAAGATAAAAATTTAAATCCTACTCTCCTTTTTTTTTCTGTCAAAAAAGATCAAAGGGCATTGCATAAAACATGATTTTTAATATATATATATATATATATAGATGAAAAGAATTTTTCTCCTACAAAAAGAAGAATGACAATACTCCTAATTTTATTTTTCATCAATCAGACTATATATTCTTTTAGCTCATAATAATACTATTGAATATGATGTCCAACAAGAAAGTTAGTGGATCAAGCTTCAATAATTTTCATGATAATGTAAATATTCAATGTGTTTACCAAAACACAATAATGATCAGACAAGGCTTTTAAAATTCTAGCTTTGCTCATACATTTCACCAATGAAACTCTTTCAATATATCCTAAATATCACAAATAATTTAACTATTTTACTTCGAGCTATTTGGAAAGGTTCTGCACTTCACAATCCCAATCATCTTTTCATGCAATCAGGCATTAGACGCCAAATGGGCTGCACAAGTCGAAACCCATTTAAGTCTTTCGAAATTAACAAGGGCGTCGCCTACATCACACTATTTGCAGTTGCCTATTAAAGGCCAATTTAATATTTAACATACCCTAAAAATAAAACTTAGGGACATTTACATGGATACCACCTGGCATGAGCTTAACGGGTCGCAGTATTAAAGCGTTACAGGACCGTGGTCCCCTTTTTTCCTATTTGATCCCTTGCATTTTTATATTCCCTTCCTAATTCTATTTCTTTCCTATTCTAATTTTCTCATATTTTATCAATTAGCTATTCCATGTGTGTAAGTTTTGCTTGCTTAGGGTTAGCTTTTGATTAATTCCAAATTTCATATTTTTATTAGGATAGCCGCCGGTGTTCGTTTTCACTTTCAAGAGCTGCATCCAAGGGATTGAGCTGTCCTCTAGTTATATCTCTCTCCCGAGGCGAAGATTCTCTTCCTCATATTCCTTTCCACATTCTACCACACCGCTCCTTGTCGCCATACTTCGCTACAGCCGCCCGAAACAGCACTCAGTTTGCTGCTTTTTGTAGTGCTCAGCCTACCGACCACCTTCTGCTCCATTCCAGCATTGTTGCCGCCCAAACCGCACCTCCTTATTGCTATCCCAGCCCTCTCACCGGACCACTGCCGTCCATGTCAGCCAGGGAACACCTCCTTCCTGTTGTCCCGCTGCTATCCACCTCAACTACTCGTTGCCATCACCCATAACAGCTTCCATACTTGTTTTTCTTACATTTTTCTTTCCCCTCGCTACCACCAGCACTCCTTTGATGCCGCTACACCCGCTAGCCATCCCGACCCACCTCGTTGGCCTCCATCCCCTTGGGATATCACTTTAGTGGTGTTTGCTTGTATCATTTTATGTTTGTTATCACTTATTTCTTGTTTAATGAGTCATCGTTGTAACACTATTTGAATTTAACAAAAATATTTCTATGTATATTACGGTTTGGGATAACTTCAGTATCACCTCCATATGTATTTACATGTCTAACACCTAAATTTTATTTTTAAATTTATAGCACCCACATCTTTCATATCACATACAAAATACCACTATTTTACCTTTTAAAAAGTGAAACACACCTTTCACGCATACATAAGATATCATATATGTAAAATTTAGAAGTTTACATGTGTAAATATATAAGAATTGAGTGGTATGTATAAATCTTCCAAAAGTTTAGCATAAAAATCACTACTTATTAAATTGACTATCAAGATCTAGCCCGGGGTTTGGAATTAACCAAGACGAGAACAAACTATCAGACGGTGGGATTAAATTTTCTTTATTTATTTACTATTTAATAAATAAAAGAATCCCTAATCAGATTAAACTAAAATAACATATTTAAATTTACCTCGTTACCAGTTGTTTGTGTCTTCTATAAACATTATCATTTTTATCGCACATCTTTTAATCACTTAAATTAACCGTAAGATGCATGACGATCATGCCTGCACATACTTCAATCTCCTCCGTCGACTTTGACACCAAGTGCCACATCCAATGCCACCTCTAAAGGAAACGAGCGCTTCATTCCTTCTGTTAGGGTTTGACGGTTTCCCTTCTCCCCTCCATTCATCTTCTTCCTTCTCTTCCTTCTACTTTAAAATGGACACACCCTATGACGTTGTTATACAGTAAGAGAAAAGAGGAGCCTTCCTTCTCCTTCAGTTTCTTCCTCTCCTCCTTAATACCTTCACCACAGACAAGCCACTTGGCTCTGACTGCGATGTTTTAGAGAGTGAAATCTACGTTTTTGGCCTCCCCATCCTTCCGCTTCATCTCTTATTTCTTCGGCTACCCGACTCCTCACTTCCTCCTCTACAGTTCTTCATTTCCTCTTCCGACTTTTCGTATCTTCTTCCTCGAATAACTGAAACCGAGCATTAAATTGACTCAAAATCAACTAAAATATGTGTTTGAACTGAGACTTGTAAAAAAATGAATTGATTTTGAGTTTACAACAACCAGAGTGCTCGAGAGAGAGAAAGCAAAACATGATAGAACTTTCTAGAAGAAATTGAGGTGGTATTATTTACTTATGAGCGGTGCATTGTGATCATTGTTCACTGAAAATTTGTAGAAACAGAAAATTTTCCAAAACAAGGTAAATTTGTACCTTCATGGGCAGCCACCTCCGGTAGGTAAGTTGCACTACGCCTTGTATTATAATCAGGGTCAGTAAATTCAATAATCAACCCATGCTTTCCAATCTGCAAGATAAAACACTCAGTTTCCAACATTCACTACATTTTAGCTTTCATAGTGAGTAAAAGCAACTAATTAGCTTGGTGATTGTAATGCCAACATCAAAATGAAGACAACAAGAGTGACAAAAGCTGTGAAATAGATTATTTAAATAAACACACCCTATAGAAAATATTCCTGGTAGTTATACAACATGGGAAAAATCTTAAAAAACTTGTTCATGTCACTGCATATTACTGGTTTAATTTCATAAAGTCTGGTCATCAAAATTACTTTTTAATTAGCTTTCTAACTATTCCGAGAACATCAACTATTCCGAGAACATCGAGAGTCCAACGATCTACATGGCAATCAGCCGTTGGAACCAGATCATGTTAGTCTTGTAGATCAAAAGCACCCAGGGAAGACCCGAGAACCTGGCGCCTAAGAACCGGGCTTGGGCGCTCAAGTGGGCGCTACTTCTGAAGGAGGCGCCTTTGCGCCAAGATTAGGTGCTCAACAGAGAAGAGAGCGCCTTTTTGCCTGCCTTTGGCGTCCAAGCGCCTATGCTGGGCGCGATTCTGCTTCCCAAGAGATGAAGCTTTTGCACCTAGTCCGGGTGCAGCAGTTGGTACACAAAATTTCTGGTTTTAAACAAATTTCGAGCGGCGTATCTTTAAGACTTCCGTGGATGTTCTTCAACAAATTCCTGGTGAATGAGAGAAGAATTTATGAGATTTCGGCATGTGTTGTTCACATTGGATTGGAGGAAGATTATAGAGGGTGAGCCCTACAAGTTTTCATGTGTGGAGAGTAAACTGATGTGAGTCCTTTGTAAAACCTTCATAATTTCATAGTAGAAGTGGTGTGGCTCCGTGGCTTTTTTTGGTTCTAGGGTTTTTCAATGAAAATTATCGTGTGTTTTTCTAGTTGTTTTGATTTATTATTCTGGTTTTCTAGAATTTTGTGATCCTATTTCGCGGTAAAACTAGAAGGAGATTCTTTCAGAATCCCAACAAAACTGGTATCAGCGTGGAGATCGATTCGAGTGGGAGCAATGACTGAAGAAGCAAGGTTCAAGGTGAAGAAGTTCAATGTGATGAATTTTGCTTTCTGAAAGATGCAGGTGAAAGTCATGTTGTATCAAAAAAATTTGTACTTGTCAATATAAGGAATCACAAGAAAGCCTAAGTCCATGCCTATGGAGGAATGAGAAGTGTTGGATCGAACGACACTAGGTTTGAAGGTTTGATCAGATTTCAGATTATCATTTTCCTCATCTGTTGCATTCAACATTGTGAATGAGAAAACTACAGTGGATCTCATGACGAGACTGGCTAAGATGTACGAAAAACCTTCTTCTAATAAGGTTTTTCTGATTAAGAAATTATCCAACATGAAGATAGTGGAAGACAGTTCAGTGATAAAACATTTCAATAACTTAAACACTATGACGAGTCGGTTGTGTTCTATGGGGATCAAGCTTGATGATGAGGCCAGAGCACTGGTGTTACTATCTTCATTGTCGGACAATTGGGATAGCTTGGTAACAACGACGAGCAATTCTTCAAGGACTTCAAAGTTGAATTTTGATGACATTGTGGGTCTGATACTAAATGAAGAAGTTCACAAAAAAGCAGCCAGTGGTGGATCTTCATAATCTACTTTGAATGTTGATAACAGAGAAAAGAACCTGAGCAGAAATACAGGCAAAGGCAGATCCAACTCCAAAAAAGGAAATCACAAGTTAAGCAGAGGGGAATGTAGGAACTGCAGTAAGAATATATATTTTAAGGACTGAAAGCTCCAAGGAAAACTGGTAGTGGAGAACAAGATAGTAGTTTCTCTAATAATCTCCATCGATGAAATCTAAAATGACTCTCTGATGTTCTCACTAGTCAGCATTGAATCCTAGATAATGGATTCAGGTGTCATTTTCATGCTTGCCCCAATAAAGAGGCATTTAAAAACTAGAGAATGATTATTTGGAAGATAACGAGGCCTACCGTATAGTAGAAAAATGTGATATTGATATCAAGTTGTCGAATAGAGCCATCTGGAAGTTTATTGAAGTCAGACATGTTCCTAATTCGAAGAAAAATCTTATCTCTGTGAGCGAGCTAAGATAGTCAAGACTTGTGACTACTTTCACAGGTGATTTGTGGAAGGTGCCCAGGAGCATTAGTGTGGCTTTGGGCAACATTGAATGCACCCTTTATTTGATCAATGAAATGACTGATTTCATTGATGTGGCTGGAACCAGGGTGGACGCAATTCTGCGACACCATGGACTTGACAATATGAGCAAGAAAGCTATGAATTCCCTCCTTTCTAAAAAAAAGCTTCAAGGTTTGAAATCAGCTGATTTGGATTGTTGTATAGATTGTACATATGGAAAGCAGATGAAAGTTTCTTTCTCAAAGTGTGGGTCAGTGATGAAATCAAAGAAATTGGAGTTAGTGCATACTGATGTATGAGGTTCTCCTTCAGTTCAATCCATTAGAGGTTCTCGTTATTTTGTCATGTTCATTGAAGATCACACGAGAAATGTGTGGGTTTATTTCTTAAAGTAGAAATCTGATGTATTTGAAATTTTTAAGAAATGGAAGGCTATAATAGAAGATGAGAAAAATATTAAGTTGAAATGTCTCAGAGCAGTTAATGGAGGTGAGTACCATGATCAGAAATTCAGAAATTTCTATGATATAGAGGGAGTCAAGAATGAATTCATTATCCCAAGGACACCGCGACAATGGTGTGATTGAGCGCATGAATAGAACAATCAATGAGAGTGATAGGAGCATGTGGTTGCATGCAACTTTGTCGAAACAGTTTTGGGTTGAAGCAATTAACACAGTTAAACTGATTTACATAGTTCATCAGCAGCTTTGGAGGAATGCTCACCTGAATGCTTGGAGTGACAAAAATGTATGTCTATCTCATTTAAGAGTAATTGGGTGTTCTGCATATGTACATGCTGATGCAGGTTCCAGAAGCAAGCTTGACTTGAAATCTGTCAAGTGTACCTTCATTGGATATGACTCAGATGAGTTTGAGTAAAAATTTTGAGATTATCAGAATAAAAAATTCATCAGGGACAGGAAAGTCACTTTTAACGAGATGAAGATATACAATGACAAGGTCAGAACTCAGGACAATCCGACAGCTACTTCTGAAGAATTCAAATATGTGGAGATAAATGATACTGGAGATCAGGAGAATTGAGAAAGAAGAAGTGTTCAACCAGAAGGAACACTGGAAGTTCCTCAAACAAATGCTACAGAAGTCAGGAGATCTAGCAGAACAAAACAAGCCATACAAATGTATTCTCCTTCATTATTTATTACTAATTGATAGTGATGAACTAGAGTGCTTTGAGAAAGTCACTCAAGTTAAAGAAAAGATTCAAGGGAGTGAGAGCTTGCCAATGATGAATAATGCAATCTTTGGAGTCAAATCTGACTTGGGATTTGACAGGACTACCAAATGACAAAAAGAGTATTGCACAACAAGTGGGTCTACAAGCTAAAAAAGGGTCAGATTGTAGCAAGTCCTATAAGGCAAAACTTGTTAAGGGTTTCCAGCAGAGGGAAGAAGTAGATTATACAAAAATATTATCCTCAGTGGTGAAGATGACGACTGTGAGGGTTATGTTGAGTCTGGTAGCAATGGAAGATCTACATCTGGAGCAGATGGGTGTAAAAATAGTTTTTTTTACATGGAGATTTAGAGGAGGTATATATGGTGCAGCCACAAGGTTACAAGGTTCTAAGCAAAGAAGGTTTGGTCTGTAGATTGAAAAAGAGTCTCTATGGCTTAAAGCAAGTCTCAAAACAGTGGTACGGAGGTTTGACAGGTTCATATCAGATAATGGGTATTTAAAGTGTCAGGCGGACCATTATTGCTTCATCAAACACTTCAGTAACTGATATATTTTACTTCTTTTATATGAGAATGACATATTGAATGCAAAGCAAATATGGAGAAAATCAGGGACTTGAAGAATCATTTATCAAGTGAGTTCAAGATGAATGATCAAGATCTAACCAGGAAGTTTCTCGGGATGAGAATCACCAGGGACAGGAGTGTAGAAACACTGAAGTTGTCTCAGACATAGTATTTTGAAAAGATCCTATAAAGATTCAACATGAGTGAGGCAAAACCAGTTAGCACTCTCTTAGGTAGTCACTTCAAATTATCTAAGGAGCTATCGTTTAACTCTAAAACAGAGCAAGCATAGATGGAGAGATAACTCCGTATGCTTGAACGATTGGAATTTTTATGAACACGACGATTTGTACCAAGCAAGATATTGCATATGCAGGAGTGGTCAGCAGGTATATAGGCAATCCAGACATACATAATTGGGAAGTGGTAAAGTGGATTCTCAAGTATTTGAGGGGAGCAGTCAACATGACACTTTGCTATGAAAGTGCATGAATCAGTCTACAAGGATTATTAGATTCATATCTAACGGGAGATATGAACAGTTGGAGAAGTACAGCGGGATATATCTTCACATTGGGAAACACAACGGTGAGTTAGGTCCCATATTGCAGAAGATTGTTGTATTTTCTACTACAAAGGCTGAATATATTGTTATTATTGATGCCAGCAAAGAGATGATTTGGTTACTGAGTTTCATGGCAAAAATGGGCAAGGAGCGGGGATTGGAAAGGTCTGCTGTGACAGTATGAGTGTGATTCATCTTGCTAAGAACGCTGTTTTCCATGGCAGGACAAAACACATTCAGTTGAGGTATCATTTTATTCGCTCTCTTCTTCAAGATGGGTAGTTTTTCATGGAAAAGATAAATACAGCTCAAAATCCTACGGATATGTTGACGAATGTGGTGACTGTTGATAAACGGAGGTTGTGCTTAACTTCAGTTGGGTTTCATGAAGGTTGAGACCGGGAGTGAGTCACACCACAATACGTGACTATGAAGGCAATTCAGATGGAGGTGCAGGTACAGAGAACTAGTGTTTGGTGCTATTGTCTCGAAGGGAGAGATTGTTACTGCCCGTTCGGGGCATATTTAAAATTGTGGGCGATGCTTTTAAAACATCGTCATCCCGTTTAGTTAACACGTTCGCATGACTTTTATCTAAACGCGAGTTTCGATGGTTTAATAAACGGTGTCGTGAGATCAACCCCGTGACGCGCGTTGAGTTCTCGCATTTTATTCCACTACCCTCGACGTGAACCCCTCACTCTCGCCTCCCTCGATCTCCCTTGTCCACTCTCAGTAATCTCCTGTCGCTCTCACTTTCCTCTTCCTCTTCTTCCCTTCATTACATATAGAAGTATAGTGTGTGATAGTTATTCCTGTGGTAATTTGGCTTTCTTCATGTGATTTTGGTTTTCTTCCTGCAAATTGGGTTTTTGATTTGTTTAAGGTTTACAGAGAATTTGATTTATTCTAGAGCATTGTTATAGAGATTTGCTTGCCTGTGGAGGGAGTACCGTGAGGTGTGCTTGTTCTAAAGCATTTGTTATGGAGCATTGGAGCTTGCTCTGGAGCATTTGTTCTGTTTGGGTTGGTGGTGGATGTGAGTCGTGCTTGTGGTGGTTGTGGTGGCTTCGGGTGTGTGTTATGGTGGTCTTGGGAGTGTGGGTTGGTGGGGATCTGAGTTGTGCTTGTGTGTGGTGGCTGTGAGAGGAGTTTATAGAGACTGTGGTGGCTTGGCTGTGTGTTCCGGTGGCCTTGGCTGTGTGGGTTGGTGGTGAATGTGCGTTGTGCTTGTGTGCGGTGGTTGTGGGAGGTGTTTATGGTGACTGCAGTGGTTTGGGTGTTTGTTCTAGTGGCCTTGGTTGTGTGGGTTGGTGGTGGATGTGAGTTGTGCTTGTGTGCAGTGGCTGTGAAAGGTGTTTATGCTGGTTGTGGTGGCTTGGGATGTTATGGTGGCCTTGGGTGTATGTTTTTTCTTTTTATTATGTTTATTAATACTCACCCTTAAGTGGGGTGTATATATTTTTTTATATTATTATGAAGTGGTTTTTGGGTTCTAAACTATCAAATATATCAATTCTGTTGCGAATAAGACAACTACACAGTGCTAGAATGATCATTTACCCAGAAACAACTGCAAATAAGCTATTTTCCGAATGCACAAATCAAACAGCTAAACAGATTATCCAGATCAGAGGCAGAATGATCATTTATCCAGAAACAGCTGCAAATTAGTTATTTTCCAAACGCACAAACCAAACAGCCAGTCAGCTTATCAGAATAAGCTGCAACGGCCTCAAACAGACCATTTAGTCTTGTGTAGCCAAAGCACCCAGAGAAGACCGAGAACCCGAAGCTTAAGGGTCGGGCTTGGGCGTTGCTTCTGAAGGGGGTGCCTTCGTGCCCATGCTTAGGCACTCGAAAAATAAGTGGGTGCCTTTGCGCCCCCCTGGCGCCCAAGCGTCCGAGTATGTTGGCACGATTTTGATTCTCGAGAGATGGGCACTTTTGCGCCTAGTAAGGGTGCTTTTGCGTCTGAAGCAGTTGGTACACAAAAATTCTGGCTTTAAGCAAATTTCAAGCAACGTATCTTTAAGACTTCCTAGAATATTCTTCAACAAGTTCCTGGTGAAAGAGAGAAGTTGGAGAGGACGATTTTTGGGATCTCGGCATGTGTTGTTCACGTTAGATCCGAGGAAGATTGTAAAGCTCGAGTCCTGCAAGTTTCCTTCAATGTGGAGAGGAAACTGGTATGAGTCTTTTGTAAAATCTTCTGAATTTCATAGTGAAAATTTCTGGCGGTGTGACTTCATAATTTTTTCCCGTCCTCAAGTTTTTCCACGTAAATTCTCATGTGTTTTTCTAGTTGTTTTGATTTTACTTTTGTGCTTAAATTTATTGTCCTGGTTTTCTCAAATCATGTGATCCTATTCCGTGGTGAAACTAGAAGGAGATTCATTCGAAGTATAACATATACTTTTATTTTATTAAAATATCATAAAAGAAAGAGGAATGACAATATTTCTACAGTGCTCTTACACTCCAATTAATTAGTTGGAGTTAGAAAATATTTTTTTCTAAGGAGATGACTTTGCTTAATTAATCATTTAGTTGCGAGCAGTATTCAGAAGTCAATATTACCTTAATACAAAACTTTTCAATGTTACGCTAAAATGTAATTATTTGTTTTACACACAAAAATAAGTGAAAATTAAATATTTATTTATGTTTCCTCTTCGAGCAACAAAATCAACCCTCAGACACAACTGTTGAAATCTTAATCAGATGTATAAAGAGAAAAGTCAAGACAATCATATAAAGTAAAAGAATTAATGTTTCACTTCCAAGGAATACCAATGACATGAATGAAAGACTCGAATGATATGCTTGCAAGACTAAAGTGGCAAAATAATCTCCTGACTATTTACATGAAGTCATTTTAGTCCACGAGTTTATAAAAATACTAAATTAGTCCCAAATCATTTTAGTAGGAGTGAAAATAACCCTCACTAGAACCATGCCAACCCATACAAAAGAGCATGGGGTCTAAATTGACAATTTTATAAACTCTTAAGACAACAATGCCCCTCTGCAAAAAGTAAAGAGAACATTTTGATACTCCCCTCATTCTTGCATTAAGATAAATGGATGGCAATTGATTTCCTTCAACATTATCTACTATTCTAACAGCTGTTTAGAAGGATAGAAGCAGCAGTATACCTCCCAATCAAGGTAGTTCAAAGCGGTCTCATATTCAGTAAGAATAGACACCGTGCATTCCAAATATGGCAATTCTTTGGGTTGGACCGGAGGGAAGCGTCGGTCTCTCAAAGCACTACAGAAGGCATAAGAAATATATTAGCAAATCACCACTTCACCACAAACAACATCCATGCAAATCCGAATAGCCCTTATGAAACTTCCTAGCAGATAAAACAACGCTAGGAATTAGAACAAATATATTTAAATAGAATAATGATAATATTAATGTAGCTGATTGTATCAATATGCCTTAAAGAGCACAACAGTAGGAGTAAAGCAAAATCACAAAAAAGCTGATAATGCATAGATTAACAATGTTAAGGCAGAAATATGATCACCCAATGCCATAGTCTCAGTGAAACTTTAAGTAGCATTGGTTCTACTATTGAAGCATAAGCAAATAACATGCCAGTACTTTCATAAACCACCAGACCGGGCTTTACAAACCACTTTTCAAGGTTTTGAGATGAACTAAAAACCAACAAACTAACATTAAAAGATGTTCATGATGAATCGTTACAGCATTTTAAATCCTTTCAAGAATCAAAATAGAATTCACAACAATAATTGCCTCGTTTGCGCATGGAATCCCTTAAATCTTCAGGCTCCTGCTTGCACAAGGAGAAGACTATAATGGATTGAGAACATATGAATTTATTCAAAAAAAACTTAAAAATAGTTGGTTGAATTTTTAACATATTTCAGGCCCCCTTTCTATAATCATCAAACCCCCCTTTTTAATTCAAATATTCAAAATATAAATGTCAATCATAAATTGTAACTCGCAGATAAGGCTAGGAATCAATAGAGAATCGAAGCCAACAACAACAACAACAACAACAACAACAATAACAACAACAACAACAGCAACAACACAATTTTTATCTCACTACATGAATCCTATTTCTTCATTGCGTCCTACTTAGTGTCATATTTTCATTTAGTTCTAATAAATTAAGATCATTTTTTATACAAAAAGCCCAAGTCTTTCTAGGTTTTCCGCTACCTTTCTTAACATAAATCGAATCAAAAACATCTATTCTCCTAATCGGATCATCAGATGGTCAATGTCTAATGTAGCCAAACCATCTAAAACGACTTTCTCTAATTTTGTCCGTCACTGGAGCTACACCAACCCTATGAGTGATATATTCATTTCGCTTTTTGTCTCTAAGTGTAAAGCCACCCATCCGCCTAATCATTCTCATCTCGGCAACACTTAACTTATTATTATGCTTCTCTTTTAAAGGCCAACATTCATCGCCATAGAACATTGCAAATCTCACCACCATAAAATTTTCCTTTCAGTCTAAGCGACACTTTTCCATCACACAAAAGGCCCGAAGCAAGGCCCGAAGCATTCCTGCATTCCTCCACTTCAACCAACCAACTTGAATTTTACTATTAACATCCCCATCTATATCACCATCACTTTGAAAACAGACCCGCGATAGCTAAATCGTTCACACCTTTTAATAATTTGATCACCCAAGGTTAAACTTTTGTCACTAGAGCAACTACTACTAAAATTACATTCCATGTATTCAGTTTTAGTTCCACTCAAAAGAAGGCCTTTAGACTCCAATGTAGACCTCTATAATTCAAGTTTTTATAATTCCAATGTAGACCTCTATAATTCAAGTTTTTCCTGAACTTTTTCTCTCATCTTATCCACAAGAAGGATATCACCCCCTCCCGTTCGCCAAAACCGCCAAAGCATACACCACGGTACATGCTCCTGTAAATGTCCAGTAAGACCATCCATAACTAAAACAAAAAGATATGGGCTTAAAGTCGATCCCTGATGTAATCCAACAGAAATAGGAAAATATTTAGTCAAACCTCCTTCAATTCGAACACAAATAACAGCTCTAGCATACATATCTTTAATGACTTGCGTATAAGTCATATCAACATCTTTCTTTTCAAGAACTCTCCAAAGGATATCTTTTGGAGTCTTAGCATAAGTTTTTTCTAAATCAATAAAAATAAAATATAGATCCTCTTTATTATCTCTGAACTTCTCCATCAAACCTCTCAATAAATGTATAGCTTCCATAGTAGACCCGTCCGACATAAATCCAAATTGATTATGAGAAATATTTGTAATACATCTTAACCTATGTTCAATTACCCTCCCCATAATTTTAAAGTATGACACATCAACTTAATTCCTCTATAATTTGCACACACTTGTGCATCCCCTTTATTCTTAAAAATGGGGACCAAGATACTCTTGCTCCACTCCTCAGGAATCTTTTTTATTTTTTAAAATAACATTAAAGAGTTTAGTAAGCCAAGAAACTCCCGACTCACCTAAATATTTCCACACTTCAATTGGAATATCATCAGCTCCTGCAGACTTTCCACCCTTGATTTTCTTTAAAGCCCCTTCAACTTTTTTTTTACTCATGCGACGGTAAAAATGAAACATTTTATTATTATTAAAAATATTAAGATCACTAAGGACGATCGTATTTTCAGAAACTTCATTAAAAATTTTATCAAAATAATTCACCCGCCTATGTTGAACATCTTTTTCTAAGAATAACACTTTTTTATTTTCATCTTTAATACACTGTACTTGAGTTAAATCTTTGTTTTTTCTTCTCTTTATTTGGCTAGATTATACATATAGTTTTCACTCTCCCTAATATCTAATATATTATAAAGATCACTAATAGCATAATTTTTAGCGTTACTGATTTTTCTTTTAGACTCTCTACAGACCGTTTGATATTTTTCCCAAATCTCTAAGCTTTTGCAATTAAACCAAATTTGATAACACAACTTCTTATATTTTATCTTTTCGTGCATATTATTATTTCACCACCAACTATTTTTATTTATAAAAACTTTTTTTTTATTCTCCAAGTACACCTTTTTCTACTTGTTTAATAGTGTTTGTTACTTTACCCCACATAGCATTTGTTTTTTAAAATTTTCTTCCCTTTTCTTTTTATTTTTTAAGGCATAAATCAATCATGAAAATAACTAAATCAGAAATTCTCATTTTTAACTTAATTGTTGGCAAGAAAGAGAAAAACAAAACCAAATAAGTGGAGGAGGCCGACCCACTTCTAAAAAAAAGAACCAGCTAAGCAAGGTGCAAAACCACAAGTGAATCGGCCTAAAGGCGTTTAAATTCTTTCAAAACAATGATCGAATCAGTCTCATAAGGTGCTTAAAAGCTTCAAAAAATCAGCACTTAAAAGTGCCCAAATCGATGTATAAAAGCCTCAAAATGCAACTTAAACATTAACAAATAAAGCTTCAAAATGACGAATAAGGCTTCAAAATTCAACTTAAGTCTTAACAAATAAAATTTCAAAATGCAACTTAAACTTTAACGAATAAAGCTTCAAAATGACGAATAAGGCTTCAAAATACAACTTAAGCCTTAACAAATAAAGTCTCAAAATGCAATTAAACCTTAATGAATAAAGCTTCAAAATATGGCCCAAACATCACTAAAGAAAGCTTCAAAGTGCAGCCCAAACATCACTAAAAATTGTTTCAAAGTGCAGCCCAAACATATCACTAAAGAGTGTTTCAAGTGCAACCCAAGCATATCACTAAAGAGTGATTCAAGTGCAGCCCAAACACCACTAAAGAGAGCTTCAAAGTGCAGCTCGAACATATCACTTAAGAGTGTTTCAAGTGCAACACAAACATATCACTAAAGAGTGCTTCAGGCGCAGCCCAAACATATCACTATGACGGGATAAAACAACAGCACGGTTTAGTGCCAAATACATCTTAAAAATAGCCAACAAAGCCCCTCCTAAACAGGGCAAAACTGCAGCCCGAATCAGCCCACGAAAGCATTTTCAAAAGGTTCCCAACAGCAGCCAACACAGCCTAAAAGACGTGTTTTTAAGAGCACTGAAATGTAGCAAATTCAGCCTAACATATGCATTTTTGGAAGCCCTAAAATCATATATATAGGCGGCCCACAATAGTGCTTAAAACATTTCCAAAACGGCTCTTAATTCAACCCAAAAAACAGCATATAAATCTATCCAAAATAGTGAATAAACAGCTTTAAAACGATGCTTAAATCTGCCCCAAAACCATGCATATATCCCCTCCAAACTCTCCAAATTGAATATGAAAAGTTTCAGATTTTTCAAATGAGTATGGTACCATAACTTTTCATATTTGCAAATGCAACATAAGAGGTTTCAGATTTCTATAAAAGTAAAGCATCACAACTTCTCAACATTTGTAAATGCAGCATAAAAGCTTTCAGCAAATGAGCCATCTACAACTTTCAGGTTTTGCAAATAACATACATAAAACTTTCAGATTTTCAAAAACAAGGCACCCAAAATTTTCCAATCCTTGTCAATTGCACATGAAACATTTCAGATTTTTGCAAAACACCAAAGTTTTCAGATTTTGAAAAGCAAGGCACCAAAACTTTCCAATCTTTGCCAATTACACATGTAAAATTTTAGATTTTTCAAGTATAAAGCTCACTTCAATTTCCCTTCCCTTTAAGGATAAGAATACTTCAAAGCATTAAGGTTTGAAAAGCTAGCCTTCATAGATACGAACTGCGTTACTTATGAAAAGTGAATGCCACAAAAATCTTATAATATAGTAATTGAAACCTGCAGCTTATCCAATTAGACACAAGAAAACTAACATTTTTTTTAGAAAACTAGAAATTTTGAATAATGAAACAAGTTTAACCCAAGCTTATCCAACCTTCCTCATTACAAACCAACAAATAGGCAAAGGGACGCCCTTCCAAGTCACGCACATCTTTTAAACGTATAGCTTAGCGCATGGACCTCAAGCTTTACATGACTAGAAGGAGGAAGAACTATCCTCATGCTAAATAGTTCCAAACAATAAATTAAAAGAAAGACTATTCTTCTCCAAAACTACTACTCTAAACATGATCTATCGAAGTTCCGAGCACATGTAGCCTCTTTCATTTTTTCTTTAATGATCAAGTATGTAAAGCAAGAAGCAAGGGATCTTTCTTTTTAAATTTTTTTAGGCAAAGGAAAGAGGGGGAAGAACCATATCTTGACTAGCTTAAAGAAAGGGGAGGAAGAAGAGTAACAGAAATCTAAGAACAGCAAACACTCTAATCGTGAAACGATTTCAGCAGCACCTCCCCTCCTTGCCGAAATTCCAAGCAACCACCAACCTTACCCTTGGTATGATTTTATAGGCAAAGGGGAGAGGAGCAGCCACCTACCAGCCCTAATGGTGGCCGAATAGGATGGTGGGAGAGGAGGAGAAGCATTTAGGGAGAAAGAGAAGTAGGCCTCGGGAAGATGAAAGGTCGGCCAGGGCTTCTAGAAGAAGAGGAGGGGTCAGCCGAAGCTTCGCGAAGCTAGGGCTCGCACGAGAGGGAAGCGCACGGGCCAGGGTTCGCGCAAGCCAGTGAGTGGAAGAGGGGACACTGTTGCGGTTCGGGCAAGAAGCATCAGGAAGATTCGCGAATAGGAGAGGGGTGCAGGAGCTAGGGCTCGAGGAGCAAGCCATCTCGTGCGGCTGGATCGAGCGAAGAGGAGAGATTGGGCGTGTGAGTTAGATGAAAGAGGTTTAAAATAAGGATTTCTTTTATTATTATTATTTTGTTTTATTTTATTGTATTATATTATTTAATTACATTAATTAGCGTGTGATTTATTCGTACTCAAAAACCTAGCAAAATGGATATCATTCCTGGGTAAAATTGACGCTCTGGACGTGTCGGCGCAGTCTGTTTCGTCATCTGATGTCATTTTGAAGGATTTATCGATTTGCGTGTGATTTTCATGTGTGCGGAATTATGACAGGGTGTCCTCCCTAGCTAAAATTGATGTCCCAGACGCGCTGATACAATCCATTTTGTCATCAGGGGTCGTCTGGACAAGTTCACATTTTTCACCATGTTTAAGCTCAATTTTAGTCCGACTTTGCCCAACTTAGTGAATTTTGTGTATTTTGTGTGTGTGAATACGTTGATAAAGTCATAAAGGGGTTTTCCTAGGGCTTGAGATCCTATTGGGAACTTCTCTTTGATTTCTCACATGTTGGTCCTTAACCACAAAAGATGATGGTTTGAGATCACCAAGGCGAGACACAGCAAGAGAAACGGGAAGTGGTTCGAATTTCTAAAAAGGGGTGGGTCCCAGCTCTAGTCCTCTAAAATAGTCGATAGGAAGCCTTAGAGCTAGATCCTATAATCTAAGAAGAGGAGAAATGAACTCAAAATGAGGTCAACAATATGGCAATATAAATCATACAATGTGGATGCACAACAAGGAAATATTCAATGTGCTACTGGCTCAAGCCCTAGTTCATTAAAACTTGTAGCGGACTATTCTCTCCTTACTTCATAATAAGTATTATATGCATCCATGTGTAGTAGACACAAATTATAAGGTTAAAAATTCATGCCAAACACAACCAGAGCTATTAAACTTTACGCTCAAATTGTAAAGGATGTTAGCATCCTACAAAGCATCTTGCAATAAACAACAATCAAATAAAGTAACAAAACACATTTTCAATATGGATGGCAGTATTCTGTACCAAGTAACATTGGATTTCAAGCATCTATTGTCAAAATCAAGCATGTTGAGTGTCATTTTCCAAGTTAATGAACTTTTACGAGTTATATGAGTTTTCACATACCTAGTTAATGCATAATCCTTTAAACCATTGATCAAGCCACGAGCTTCTAAGGTTCCAATGCACCCTCGCAAACGCGGTTCACTGCCATTAATTGCTTTCTTCCATGTCACAAACAACGGGCTGAAATGACATTTGTTTCTTGTAAGAATATCAAAATGAAATTTTGAAAAGCATATGATTAAGAAAAAAATAGAATACTGAGGATCACCATGTAATATGTAAAGTAGCAAATTTTAAGTACAAGGTCCACCGCCATGATACCTAGGCAGCTTAATATATGGGATGATGGGCAGCTTCAAATATATGAATATGCAATCAATTGAGAAATTTTGGGAATAAAAATTAGCAAGCAAGATGCCTTAGAATGGAAAAACTCGTTTAATTTCAATCTTTGGATGATCAAGAAGAACTAAATTACAAAGATATGAGCAAGATAAATAAGGTTTCACTTGCATTCAGCCTTTTTATAAAAGAGGCTAAGAATGAGCTAAATATCGCAACAGCTCAAATGAACTATACTGCACTCAAATTAATTTAAAGAAATCAGTAAAATAAAATATGGAAAAAAAATTTACCAAACTAAATCAAACACATATGATGAATCCTCCGTATATTAAAAATGTGGCTTGTTTCATGATTAAAAATTAAAATTTTTAATGGGTACAGTTCAAAACAGCTTGGATAATGTTTTATAAAGAGAAAATGCCCATCAGTTAAAGCTCTTAAACCATAAGTAGTGGAAGCAGACCACTGATCCCTTACCCACCCTCTTAATTACTTGAAGTTGCCACCCTTCATGTACCAAGATTATTTACTAACTTATTACCCCGATGAAAATTAACTCAATATTCTAAATACAATGTTATATTTTATCCTTCATATTTCATCTTTCAGTAAGAGGACACAAGAACATTGATTGGGCTTGCTAAAGAAAAGGATGATTTATACCAGCTTGAAGAATCTAACAATCAAGAAAGCTTCATACAACCTTAGGCATTATTTTTTACAAAAATACTTTAATTCAATAAGATAAGATCTAGTTTAACACCTAGTTCTTGGTCGCCAACAATTGTTGTTCTCAAAATCATTTTCCAACATTTTTTAAAGAAATCAATATTGAATAATTTAAGTATAACAAAAAGGTATTAACTTTCTAATAAGTTAACACCAGAACTGGTTCTTTTTCCTTTCATTTATAATAACATTTGAGGACCAACCATTCACTTTCGTGGCTTGAAGGTTTGTATCATTTATCGATACTTTCACTTTGCTAAACATCAAAAATGATGTGAGAATCATCTTTCCCAAATTTTACAACGTGATCAAAAGTTAATTCAGAGTTGAAATTAAAATAATCAAATCTGAACATCAAAGACTATTTTAGTCATTCTCACTTTTTATACTTCAAGAAAAAATTATAATGCATGAGTTCTCTTGTGTGTATATATCACAACAAAATGAAGTATTGATTGAAAAAATGACCACCGACTTGTTATCATAAAGGGATCTCCTTTTTTTTAAATAATGTTACAAAATAATATTTAGTGGAAGACAATTTAACAATTGCTCGTATCACAAACTAATTATGATACCACAGTATGCGATTTGGAAAGAACTGAAAATTAGAAAGGAAACCGTAAAATTTATTAGCAAAACCACCATCTTAGAGCCACCTTAGAATACAGTAGCAAGGGAAAAAATTGAGTACCGAACAACCCTTTAGAAAAATAGAAAACTCTCTCCAAAAATTGTCTGACCAAAATGGCCTACAGATCTTTTATATTTAAGTTGAGACCCTTCCTAATTACAAGTTTGTCATCCATATAAATAAAACTAAAGAAAAACACAGGACACATAAAAAGACTGAAATAAAACATCTACAAGAACACTAGGACAACAAACACTTCAAGCTTTGGTGTCATTGTCCCCGAGTTGGCGGAGATTCTTCATACTAAGTACTTTATAAATCGCATTTGTAATGTGAAGACAAGTCCGGGACGTTGAATGTAGTAGAAATATTTAATCATCGAGGAAATCAATTTGGTAAGCATTATCATTAATACACTTCACAATCCAAAAAGGTCCGTCAGCTTTAGCTTTGTGGTTCCCATACTTTCCCGAAGAAAAACTCTCTTTCCTTAATCAAATCCAAACTTTGGCTATTTTTTTTAAAGTGACCGCTTTTCTGCAATTGTTTGTTTGTCGCCAAAACACTTCTTTTTTTTTTAAAGATATTCTCTCGAATCAATTTATGAAGCTTTTGGATTCCTTGTAGCCAAACCATAATATCCGGGGTCACAACCTTAATTGGAATATCCAATGTAACATCAAGTGTAGATATATAATTTCTTCCATAAACCACCTCAAAAGGGTTATATTTGGAGGTTTGATTGTGGGATCGGTTATAGGCAAACTCCACCTGTGATAGAAGGAGGTTCCATTGTCAAGATTCTTGCCCACATTACAGCAAAGTAGAGTCCCAAGACTTCTATTAACAGCTTCCGTTTGTCCATCGGTTTGGTTCCCAACTTGCTCCATAATGTCTTCCAAAAGTAGCTTAAAAACTTAACATACCTATCAGACGTGATAGCACGTGAAATGTCATGTAAACGGACAACCTCATGAGAGACATCTAATGAGGTCTTGCATGGCACAAAGTGGGCAATCTTGGAAAACTTATCCACCACTATCATGACAGAATCCTTATGTCGTTGAGTGTATGGTGAACCAACCACAAAATTCAAACTAACATATGTCCGGCAAGGGAAGTTATAGCCCTGAATTTTGAGTTCTTGTTTTGGTTATATGGCAGGTACAACACCTCTTGACATGACGGTCCACATATTTACGCATAGAGGGCCAATGAAATTTATCTTTTAGGAGATCTAGAGTCTTGTCTCTTCCAAAATGGTCAGCTAGGCACCCATCATGACCTTCCACCAATATTACTTCTCTAATAGAACACTTAGAAATGCATAAGTAATTTCCTTTGAACAAAAAATCATCCTTGATGTGGAATGTTTTATAATTTCCTACTAGACATTATTCTCATGCCACTCGAAAGTCAGGATCCTTGTCATACATTCCTCGTATCAGCTCAAAGCTCACAACCCGCGCATGCATGACCGACAAAATAGATTGTCGGCTTAGAGCATCAGCTACTTGATTAGAAAGTCCCAATTTTTGTTTGAGAGTAAAATTAAAACTGAAATATATTCAACCTATCCTGTTAGTTTATTATGACTCTGAAGAAACTTGAGGGTTTTGTAATATGTATAAATAAAAAATTCATTAGCAAAAGATAATGACTCTAATTTTGTAGAGCTCTTACGATAAAACAAAATTCTTTGCTATATGTTGAATATTTCTTTCTAGTCGTTGAGTTTTTCGTTGAAAAATGCTATAGGATGTCCTCATTGACTAACGAACAAAAGATTAAAAATCTGAAAGCTTTAAGACTTGATTTGTACATAGGCCATATTACAAACGATCATAGTTGAGCTACGTTTGCTCTGTCCAATAGAAATGGGTTGTTTTTAGCAATTCAAACAGTGGAGCAGTAATAGTACTAAAGCTCTTATCGAAACGACGATAGGAAGAACCCAACCCGTGGAATGGCCTATCTTCGGTGAAGGATGTAGTTGTCGGCCAACCCCTGACAGCCGCAATTTTATTGGAATCCACTTCAAACCTGCTTTCAATATCACAAATCCCAAGAAATTGATGAAGGAAACTAGGAATTCACGCTTAACCTTATTGGCATAAATCTATCGTGACTGAAGACCTCTAAAACACCTTGTAAATGTTGCAAATTTTCAACCTTGTTAGAGTTATAAATCAAAAATATCATCGAAGTAGCCCGAATGAAGTATCATCGTCAATTTGTATAGTCCATTTCTTCTCTTGAACATTATTTTCCATTCATCATCTTTACCATATTTGATGATACCTTCTTCGAAGGTCTATTTTAGAGAAAACAACCACTCCTTTTAACTTATCAAAAAAGGTTGTCCAATTGAGGAATAGGAAACCTATATTTGATAGTGATTTTATTTACAGTCTGATTGTCAATGCACGTGCGCCATGTCCCATCCTTTTTTGGAACCAAGAGAGTTGGAACCGCATACAGGCTAGCGCTACACCGCACCAAGCATTTGTTGATTAGCTCATAACGTCCTCATATTCCTTTGGAGACATCCTATATGCGGGTTTGTTGGGGATAACCGTACCATGCACAAAGTCGGCAGCATGCAGTACCTCTCTCATAGGTGGTAATCCTAAAGGAGTTTACACCGGGAAGATATCTTCGAACTATTGTATTAATCCCTAGACTACAGGAGGGGGTGTCAATGATTGTCCAAAACCTTTGGATATGATTAAGAGGTACCCCAAAGCTGCCTCCTTAAGTCTTTTAAAAACATTGAGGGAGTAAAATTGTTGGAGTTCAATCCCCAACTGGATTTCCTCCTTCACGAGCAACAAGATGGTTTGAACTCCCTCTGATAAATGAATAAGCGTTTGCATATCCATCATGAATCGTATGTTGGTCATATTTTCAAGGCCAACCAAGCAATATATGATAAACATCCATAGGAATTACGTCACATAATACCTACTCCTTTAGTTTCCAATCGATCAAAAATTGCACCCAACATTGTCGGGTGACTTTAATTTCAGCTCTCTTGTTGAGCCACATGAGTTGATGGGGATGGGGATCGGGATGAGTAGATAGCCCAAGCTTCTTCACCATAGTTGTTAAAATTATGTTTTCACAATTTCCACAGTCGATGATAAGGTTACAAACCTTGTCCCGAACCGCGCACCAGGTTCTAATAATGTGTCATAACCAATCTTTATTGGAAGGCTGTTTGACACTTAGGAGACGCCTTATCACAATTAATTCCTCTTTATCCGCATGTATGACTTGCTCCCTCATCAAATTATTGTCCTCTTTTACAACATCATCTTCCTCTAGTTCAACTTCCTTGACAAAAAGAGATAACATTTCCGTAAGGACAATTAGAGGCTATGTGGTTGAACCTATGGCATTTGAAGCATCATTTATTAGACAAAATTCCTCCCATTTCTGAGACAATTAAGGGCTTGCATTCTTTGGTCAA